AAGGGGTCCGCCAGGGCAGCGTCGAGGGCCCGCTTTTATTCGTTGCAGTTCACGACCTCCTCACGTCGGCCCTGGAGAGCAGCCGCTTCGTTTCTGAGTTTCCAGAAGTGCACGTCACTTTTGACCCTGAGCTCAAAAATATTAGACACCAGCATAACCTCATGGGAGACGAATGAGAGGAGAGGATGGTAGCATCGCCGATAAAGTTCGTTGATGACCTGATCGCCTTCACGATCGTCGAAAACTCCGAGACCGCCTCTGGGTTTTTCGCCTTCCTGCACTCCGAAATCTCGAAGGGCAAGATGCAAGTAGGCGACACTAAGACCGAGATGCTAATAGTAGTGACGGGCAAAATGAGCAAGCAGCGCAAGACTAAGATCAGAGCCAAGCAAACGAACATCATGATGCACGCGACACCAGTACATGCTACAGCTAGTGTCAAACATCTTGGTGCTAAGCAGCGGGAGGACGGTTCGATGGTGGAGGAGGCAACGCACATAATTCAGGGCAGTAACGCAGCACATGCACGCCTAGCCCCTCGAGCATTCGAAGGCCACTTCAGTGTTCGACTTCGCGTCCGACTGTGGCGCACACAAGTTCGATCGACCCTCCCCTGTGGCCTCGAGGTTGCCGTCATGACCAAGCGTGACCTCAACAGACTTGAGCACTGGCAGACCCGTAAGCTCCGCTACCTTGCCCGTGCTCCCGCTCACGCCCACCATGTCTGCAATGAGGAGGTCAGAAGGCTCGCGCGGGCGGCGGCGGCAGCCTCAACCTTGCTAGAGAGACGGCTAGTATGGTGGACAGGTGTTGCACGGCCAGCATTCCCCGACCTCATGAAGAAAAGCCCCAGGCGGGTGACGACGATGATGACACCTCCAGGCACGATCCCCCCCGTCTGGTTCGTGCAGCTGTGTTCGGCAGATTCAACTTCGAGGGCCCCCGCCATAAAGAGGTCAACTCTCTCCTGGGACTCTCACGTGAGGACTTGAGGCAGCTCTGGCAGACCATGGACCCCGAGACCCAACAAGATGCCCGTGATGCCCATGCCCTGGATGACCCCGAACCCGCTCCGACCCGCCCGCGGCTTCGATGCTTGTGTCAAGTTCCCGAGCTCATCTTCGGCAAGTGCGAAGGTATGCGACTGAGGACGAAGCGGTGGCCCCTGCCCCCGAGGTGATGATCAAGTGCCCAGTGTGTCCCCGCATGTGCCAAGGCCCCAAAGGATTGGCCAATCATATGTTTTCGGTCCACAAGAAGTACGCCAACCCCACGGACCTCACGGATGACCAATTGAGATCCCTAAGGTGCCCTAGTTGTTCTACTTCCTTTAGCCGAAAGGATACACTTGTTCGTCACATGCAGAAACACCGGTGTCGTGTACCACAGGCGTGCGAGGCTCAAGACCCTGAGACGGCAGCTCCAGACCTTCCAGGCCCGCCGGCCCCACCGCCTCCGCCAGCCGCACACGTTCACCCCGATCGCGGAGATCTCCAACGGCGTGAAGCGCAGCGCGGAAGGGGGCCCCAGAGGGGCGAGCCAACGAGGAGAAGGAGACGACCCCCAACGGCAAGCTCCAGTCCCTGATGTGCCGCTTACTACTCCAGCACGAAGCCGCACACCAGGCCGCGGCACGCGACGACAACCTGACGCTGACCTTGAAGGAGGGTCAGAAGCTCGAGGTGGCGCTGGAGACAGGCTACCAGGAGCACGTGCGAGTGGGCAAGACCGCTCGAGAGGGCGACGACTTCAAAGGCCACCCGATGGGCAAGAAGCCAGATGCCCTCCTGAAGATGATCGTCTTTCGGATCTCAGAGGCCGCCCCCATCAACCGCGAGAAGCTGCTGAAGGCAATCGAGCAGGGGCCCCACCCCCAGGCCGCCGCCGAGGCCGTCTGAGTTCTGGAGAGGTGGGGCCAGCTCGCGCAGAACCCAGACACGATCGTGAAGGCCACCAGATGCTTCAAGATCAAGCTCAACGCCGAGGGCGAGGACCAGGTACGCTGGATGTTCGCGTGCAACTACCATCCCGACCTGAAGGCCGCCTTGAACGTGCTGCGCCTCAACGGAGGCATGGAGTCTGCGGCGATCCTGCTCGGTCACGATCACGGCCCGAGGTCGAAGGTCGCGAAGCAGATCGAGCAGCTCGCATCCAGGGACGATGGCAAGGCGAAGTCCGCAGGCAAGAAAAAGTCCAGGACGTAGCCGAGCCCCGCTCCCGAGCCCGTGGAGCAAGCGGTGCCAAGGCGCCCTCGAGCCTCACACTGACGGCCATCTTTGAACGTCAGAGATCCGCGGCGGGATGATAGCTTGGCAGTTTTGTGCATTCAGGAGGGGTCTGAACGCATACTCCCACACCATAGTTCTGACAATGGTGAGCGTCGTTGGTGTGGAGATCAGGTTGCGCCTCATGTTCGTGTTTGGATTCGTGGGCGGACAGAGCATGCGAATGAGATCGTGGGTTTACCCTGAGGCTCCGCTCGTGCCACCGCCGCCGCCTGTTCTTTCATCGGTCTTGTTTCCTCGAGCGCCTTGTTTGGGAGGTGCTGCCCCGAGGCCCTGGAGGGGGCCCGAGGGCCGCACCCGCAGCGCCGCCTCCGCAGAGGCGGGGGCGCGTGGGTGCGGGGCCCTGGCTTCCCGATTCTCTCGCGCGTTCCTGTCCTGGGCCCATCGTCTAAAATACAGGTTTTTAGATGCGCCGATTTCGGTAGGCTTTACATGGCCCCTCACGAAGCGTCCGGTTGAGCGTGCTTGGGCGCACTGCTGTGAAAAAAAGGAAGGGCAGCAGATGGCAGCGGAAGTGAAGGATGCGCCCCCGAGAGATGGCAACGGTTTTGGTTTCAGGGTTTCCGGAACCCGCCACATGTAGGAGGTCCTCGTTGGTGGCGAAGCCTCCTCTCGTTCTTCCACCACCTCGAGGCGACAATTCTCACGTTGTACTTCACATTGCCCTGGTGTTCCTTTGTGCGCGAACGGCGCACTGTATCGCGCGCACAAGGTGCCCCTCGGTGTGCGTAGTCGAAACTTCGCGCCTGCGCGCGCAGTCGCGGCGCGGGGGAGGCCGCAACGCGAGCGAGGTCCTGCGCGTGAGTTTCGCGTCGCCGCCGCGCTGGCCTGCGCAAGGGTCGCGGCGCGGAGGTTGGCCGCGACGCGCGCGCCGTTTTGCGCGCGTACTGCGTGGCGCCGCTGCGCTGGCTGGCCACGTCCAGCGCGCGCGGCTGCGTTTCGCCCCGCGCGGGCCCGAGGCGGTACACAAGTTTCGGCCACAGGTTGTTGCGCGTGCTAGGGGGGGGGGGGCGCGCGCCCTTCCCGCGGCGGTTTTCCCCACCCACCCTCCCCAGAGTTGTTGCACCCACGTGCCGCGGTGGCCGTGCCAGCGCGGGACCACGTGTGCCCCAGCGCTGGCAGAGGTCGCGCGCGGCGCGGCACCCGCTGTTGCAGCGCACCTCGGGTTTTTTCCTGTGCTCGGGGGAGGTGGCGTTCCTTTCCGTTTCGAGCATGTCGATCGGCGGCGACGGAGGTGTCGGCCCGACTTTCTCATCACCTCTTGCGCGCGAAGCTTCGGGTCGCCCGCCGTGTCGCCATGGTCCGCAGGCTGGGTCTCCTCCGCTTCCGAGCCACCTCCCCCTCCAAGCACGAGTTGCTCGTGGATTGCTTGGCGAACGGGGACTCGAGGCCAGGAGGCTGTGGCAAAGACAGGCTCGACGACCCCTCCACTTCCACATGCTTGACAACAGCTCCACGCCAAAAAGCGGCCAGCCTCTCCCCGCGATCCTTCACCAAGGGAGGCCCCGATAAGTGCACGCGCAGCATGCGCTGCCACACGCTCGTGTCCTCCACGTAGACAGCTCGACCCAGAAACCGATATCCTCCACCCAGTCTCACGCCCAGCAGGCACGGATGTGCGCACGTCTTGAACGCCAGGGGGGCCCGCGCGGCGCTGCGCACTGTGCGCATGCTCGGGCCCAGGCTTGCGGAGGAGGAGGAGGAGGAGGAGGAGGAGGAGGAGGAGGAGGAGCAGGAGGAGCAGGAGGAGCAGGAGGAGCAGGAGGAGCAGGAGGAGCAGGAGGAGCAGCAGCAGGAGCAGGAGGAGCAGCAGCAGCAGCAGGAGCAGGAGGAGGAGGAGGAGGAGGAGGAGGAGGAGGAGGAGGAGGAGGGAGGAGGGAGGTCCCGTGTGCTACATTCGCGTCGTGCCGACGCGGCGGCGACTCGGCCGCGGGCGTTCCAGGTGGAACGTCGTTGGTGGCCCAGGATCGGCCAATGCAGTCAGACCAAATATAATGGGTCGAGGTCGGTTCGGGGAGGGTACCCCAATGTTCTTCGTGTTTGTAGGATGTTTGTTCTGGCCGACGGACGGTCTCATGTGATTCAAGGATGCTTTTCTGGCCTAGACCCGACTGTATGAATGAAACGACCTAGCGATGAAGAAAGGCCGTCGATCCCTCGCCCCAGACATGGCTGCTCCAACTTTTTGGTGCGCGGCGAGGTCTGGACCACTTCCCCAGGACCAGGTTCCTCCTCCTCTTCCTCCTCCTCCTTCTCCTTCTCCTTCTCCTTTCTCCTCCTCCTCATCTCCTCCTCCTCCTCCTCCTCCTCCTCCTCCCTCCCCTCCTCCTCCTCCTCCTCCTCCTCCTCCTCCTCCTCCTCCTCCTCCTCCTCCCCACTTCCCCAGGGACCCGGGCGTTTCGTCCCCGAGGCTCAGCAGGGGGCTCCCAGAGGCCAGAAACGGCCGAAAGCAGGCCGCCCCAACTTTTTCGGGGCGTCGGACCTCTGGGTCACGGTTGAACGATCCCCTCGGCTTCAGGAACCAGCGCCCACCCTCCTCCTCCTCCTCCTCCTCCTCCTCCTACTCCTCCTCCTCCCTCCTCCAACCTCCTGCTCCTTCCTCCTCCTCCTCCTCCTCCTCCTCCTCCTCCTCCTCCTCCTCCTCCTCGTCCTCCTCCTCCTCCTCCTCCTCCTCCTCGTCTCCTCCTCCTCCTCATCAGAACACGACCTGGCCGCAGCCGTTCTTGCTTCGAGCCGTGGTGGGGCCAAGGGCGCACCGCAACACCGCCAGGGGGCGCGCACCGCGAAGGGGTCGGCACGCGCGGGAGGCGTCGCGCAGAGCTGGGGGAGGGGCCTGGAAACTAGCACCAAGACCAACACAGAGGTGCTTCGGCGGCGAGCGAGGGGGGGGCAGGAACTTTCGGGTTCGAGGTTCGAGGTTTTCCGACGAGTTCGTCGGTTCTCAGCGGTTTTCCAGCCTCGGGATGCTTGTCAACAGTTGCGCCTCGCCGCGGGCGTTCCTGGGGTGCCGGGATCGTCCCGAACGGCCGCCAGAGAGCCGAGTTATGACCCAAAAACCGAATGTTGCAGCGAGCAAGGGGGGGAAGTGAGAAGGAGAAGGGGCCTTCTCAGAAGGCGGCGGGGCTTCTCAGCAGCCCCCGCGCCTTCTGAGAAACGTTCCGTGCTTTCGGGAAGGTTGCGAAGACTTCTCAGAAGGCCCGGGGACTTCCGAGCCTTCTGAGAAGGCCCGCCCCTTCTCACTTCCCCCCCTCGCTCGCCGCCGGGTGCTGCCTCCACCGGGGGAAGAGGGTCCTGGATTCTGGTGATGGCTGTATTCCTCCGGCCGGCGAGGCAGCCCAAGCAGGACCACCGTCACCGACATTGGGGCCACGTGTCCCTCAGTGGAGGCAACCGCTGCAAGAGGGCCACTCGAGCGACGCAAAAAAAAGCACGGGATCGTCTGGGCCGACCGGGGCGCGCAAGCTGCCCGCGTGAGGTCGCGCGTTAAGCGCCCTCGTTCCCGGTGTGGCGTGCCGCGCCGGCGGCCCGCGCAAGCCGCCGCGTAAGGTCGTTGTGCCATCTCGCGTCAGCCCCATGTCAAGAATCCTCCTCCCGAAAAGCTGGGCCAGCGTTTCTTCGCCAACTTGCCCGAAAGCTGGCTCAGTTTCTTGAGCGCGCTCGCCCCTTCCCGGGTCAACCACAGAGATTGACCCAGGCTTGTTTCAAGAGACTTTCGGGCAGCTGGCCAGGATCTATTTAGACGATAGCTTTCTTGATCCTATTTCCAGCTGGGGCGTTCCAAAAACGGCCTTGTCTTCGAGGATCGAAGGAATTGTCATTTCTCTCGCCGCGGGAGGCGGCGGAAGGGCGGCGGAAGGTCGGCGGAAGTAAAACGATGCCGCCTTCGCCGGCGGAAGCCGGCGGAAGGGCGGCGGCAGGCGGCGGGAGTAAAAGATGCGCCCCCAAGAGATGAAAACGGTTTTGGGGTTCCAGGTTTCCGAGATCGCCCGCTATTCTTGCTCGTCGCTCAGTGGAGGCAACGGCGGCTCTGCCGTCGATCACAGTCGATCCTCGAACTCTCAGTCGATCCTCGAACTCTCCCGGGGTCCACCCTCGCATTAGTCGGGCATGTCATGTCCCTCTACAGGAGGAATATTCAATAGTCACGAGGCGTAGGTTTGATCATTTTCGCCAGAATTTGCATATGTCTTGACCATAGTGTGATTTTCGCCTAAAATCCGCCTGCAGTAGGACATGCCTGACCTAAGCCTTCGCCCGTCCTCCGAGCGGCAGGCCCCGCCGCTCGCGACGGGAGGCCTCGCAGGGGAGGCCCACGAGGACGGCGAAGCGCACGCCCAGAGGGAGGGCCGCCGTTGGCACGAATTTGGCCCTCTCCTCCGATGTGGCCCCCCCCATCCATCTCCACCTCCTCCCTCCATCTCCTCCTCCCTCCGCCCTCCTCCCTCCTCCCTCCTCCCTCCTTCCCCTCCTCCCCTCCTCCCTCCTCCCTCCTCCTCTCCTCCTCCTCCTCCTCTCCTCCTCCTCCTCCTCCTCCTCCTCCTCCTCCTCCTCCTCCCCGCCTCCGCCTCCGCCTCCCTCCTCCTCCTCCTCCTCCTCCTCCTCCTCCTCTCCTCCTCCTACCTCCCTCCTCCTCCTCCTCCTCCTCCTCCGCCTCCCTCCTCCTCCTCCTCCCTCCTCCTCTCCTCCTCCTCCTCCCTCCTCCTCCTCCTCCTCCTCCTCCTCCTCCTCCTCCTCCTCCTCCTCCTCCTCCCTCCTCCTCCTCCTCCTCCTCCTCCTCTCCTCCTCCTCCTCCTCCTCCCTCCTCCTCCTCCCCTCCTCCTCCTCCTCCTCCTCCTCTCCTCCTCCTCCTCCTCCTCCTCCTCCTCCTCCTCCTCCTCCTCCTCCTCCTCCTCCTCCTCCTCCTCCTCCTCCTCCTCCTCCTCCTCCTCCTCCTCCTCCTCCTCCTTCCTCCTCCTCCCTCCTCCTCTCCTCCTCCTCCCTACCCCTCCTCCTCCTCCTCCTCCTCCTCCTCCTCCCTCCTCCTCCTCCTCCCCTCCCCACCTCCTCCTCCTCCTCCACTCCTCCTCCTCCTCCTCTCCTCCTCCGCCGCTCCTCCTCCTTCCTCCCTCTCCTCCTCCTCCTCCCTCGTCCCTCCTCTCCCTCCTCCTCCTCCTCCTCCTCACCTCCCTCCTCCCTCCTCCTCCTCCTCCTCCTCCTCTCCTCCTCCTCCTCCTCCTCCTCCTCCTCCTCCTCCTCCTCCTCCCCTCCTCTTCCTTCTCCCCCTCCGCCTCCTCCTTCCTTCTCCTTCCTCCCTCCTCCCTCCTCCCCTCCCCCTCCCTCCTCACACCTCCCTTCTCCCTCTTTCCCCCTCTCCTCCCTCCTCTCTCCCCGGCCTCCTCCCTCCTCCCACCACCTCCTCCTCCTCCTCCTCCTCCTTCTCCTCCTCCTCCTCCTCCTCGGGTCGCCTACGGCCCCGGGGGAAACCGTGCATGCCAACCCAGACGTGCGACGTCACGATTTCTCCGAGGCGCGGGCCCCCGACCTCTCGACCACTTCCCAGGGCCGGTCCTTCCTCCCGAGCTGCTTTTTGAACGCCCGCGGGGCCAGGGAAGGGCCTCTGTCTCGATTGCTTCGAGATCGACGCCAGAGGTCTGGGGACCCCAGACATCCGACGACATCGTGTTTTATATTAATATACCTGCATGCGTGCATGCATGCATACATACATACAAACATACGTACATGCATGCATGCATGCATGCATGCATGCATACGTAAGTACGTACGTACGTACGTACGTGCGTGCGTGCGTGCGTGCGTGCGTGCGTGCGTGCATACATACATACATACATGCATGCATGCATGCATGCATGCATGCATGCATGCATGCATGCATGCATACATACATACATACATACATACATACATACATACATACATACATGCAGATATACATACATGCACACATACATATATACATACATACATGCATACATTCATACATACATGCATACATGCATGCATACATACATACATGCATACATACATACACATACACCTATACATATACATATATATACATATACATACATACATACATACATGCATGCATGCATGCATGCATGCATGCATGCATGCATACATACATACATACATGCATGCATGCATCCATACACACATACATACGTACATACATACATACATACATGCATGCATGCATGCACGCATGCATACATACATACACGCATACATACGTACGTACATGCATGAATGCATGCATGCATACATGTAAACGTTTACGGTGAATGAATGAGAGGGGCAAAGGGGTGGAGGCAGACATGGCCGCAGAAGAGAATGCAGGGCATAGTTGCAATTGAAGCTCAAGAGTTTGGGGCCCCCCCGGGGGGGGGGATGCTTGGCGCCCCCACGGGCCCCTCCCGAGGGACCGCCTGCCAGCGCGCCAGGCAATCGGCAGCAGGGCCCGCGTCGGCTCAGGGGCTGTTGCTGCGGGACCCTCCTGGCCGGCGAGTCGCTGGGGCTGGCAGTGCGGGGGGCGCTCCTGGAGGTGTGCGAGCTGAGCTACGTCCGCGCCTTGGCGCGGCTGAGCGTGCAGGGGGCAGCGTTCACGTCGAGCGTGAGGACTGCGATGCTGGCCAAGGCGCGGCACTTGATGGCGGTCCTCTGTGCGCTGAGGCAGCTCGAGGATGCCGCCTGGTGAAAAGGCGAAGGCTAGAGCCGAGGCCAAGGCCAGGCTCAAAGCTAAGGCGAAGGCGGGGGCCAAGGCGCTGGCTGGACGTGGCCGATGCAGGGGCCGCGGCTGGGGCGCCGGCCCAAGTGCTGCGCCCTTCCCGCCGCTGGCGCCGGGAGCCGCACCCGCTGTGGGTGACGAAGCTGCGGTGCTGGGGGTCCCCGGGCTGGGGCTCGGCGCTGGAGGCGTTGGAGGCGGAGGCCTCGCGGCTCTCGGCGCGCCCGACGGCGCGCCCGCCGCGTCAGCAGGAGGCCCTTTGGGCGGAGGCGCGGCCCTGGTCGGTGCGCACGCCGCTACCACGCCGCCGGGCACGGGCGCGGTGGCGCCGCCGCTCGCTGCGGGGGCAGGCTCGGTGGCGGGCGCGCCGCCGCCAGGCGCGACCGCTGGCCCAGGGCTCGCAGGCGCTGCGCTGGGGCCAGCGGCTGCCCGCGCTGCAGGGCCGGCCGCGGGCGCGCCCCAGGATGGGCGGGCCCGCGCTGGTCCAGCGAGCCTCCACGCACAGGATGAACGGGGAGATCCCAGCGCTGGACCAGGCGCTGAACGTCGACGGCACGGCGGTGCTCGAAGTCGAGGAAACGGGGGCGCCTGGCGCGGACGAGCTGCACCGCCCAGATCCGAGGGGCCTCAGTGCCGGCGCAGGCCCGGGGGCTCGGCGCGCACTTCCCGCCGCCAGGAGCCGGGCCGCCAGCGCTGCACCTTTTGCAGCCTCGGCGCGGCGCAGAGCGGGGCGCCCGCCGTGGCGGGCCAAGGCAAGCGGCACGTGGGCTCGCTGCGCCTCCGGTCGGCCCGCAGCCTGGTCGAGCCGCGGGTCCGAGCGAGCGCGCAGCCCGCAGCCGGCGGCGGGGACGCCGCTCACGGAGGCGCGGCCGCCGCCCCCGGGCGACTGGAGGTTGTTGCCGCCGGGCGCGCTGTGGCGGTTGCCTGCGCGGCGGAGCTCGGCGGGTCCGCGTCGCGCGGCGGCCGCAGGCGTCGGCGGAGCCGCTCGAAGGGCAACGGCGGCGACGGCAGCGGGTTGCTTCTTCGCGGGGCGAGCTCCCGCGGCAGCGCCGTCATGGCGCTGGCCGCTCGGCACCCTGGCGC